GCGCACCGCCTTCACGGACCATCAGCTGGCGCAACTGGAGCGTAGCTTCGAGAGGCAGAAATACCTGAGTGTACAAGACCGCATGGAGCTGGCTGCCTCACTCAACCTCACTGACACGCAGGTCAAGACCTGGTACCAGAACCGCAGGTGAGGTTTGCGGCAGGGCGGGGTGTGTAGGGGTGTAGGGGCCTTCTTCTGGAACCTTGGGTCTCTCCCATTCTGTAAAAGTAGGGAAACCGAGGCTTTGAGAAAAGACCTTGCCCCAAGTTCCACAGTGAGAGACAGAAAGGACTAGACTGGCATCCAAGACCAGGTGAGATGGCATGGCACAGAGGCTAATAGAGATTCAAGCCCTGCTCCACCCCAGTCTAAGTCCACAAGGAACCAGGCCTAGGATAGGCTTTAGGGCCTCTGGGCCACAAGGGGAGAATGGCAGCCCAAGTCTCCAGAAAGCAGAGAGGTCCTGAGGTTGTTGAACAAGGGGCCATTGGCCTTCTAGCATTTACAGCCAAGAAAAGGGCTCTCTTCACCCTAGCTCCTCTGGGAGAGACAGAGACCAGGAAATTGTTATTAGGACACCGATCTTGAACCTGCTTCTTAATCTCCTTCTTGGGCATTCATAGGACTTGAATATACTGGTAAGATACACATGTCCAGACATGTCAGTCTGCATAGTGACACACTCTCCCACATACTTAGCAGAGGCAGGAATGGTACCTTCCATAAACAAGCCTCAGAACACACAGCCCCATTAATAATAAATACCGATTAAGGCTTCAGGCATCAATAATTAAGGCTTGTTGCAGTAATTACACAATTATGACGATGAGGAATTATTCAGAGAGGGAAACAGGGCTAGTGCGACTGAGGCCACCTCATGAAACCCAGACAGGCATGCTCAACCTCACCCCAGGTGAGTGCAGAGGCCTTGGTTTTAACTTCCTCACATCTGCCTTACCCTAGGCCTCCCAACTCTGGGCCAGAGGGATTTGGGACTAGCTAGCCCCAGGCCTCAAACCTAGGTGGCCTGAGTGTAGGCAGAGCTGGGAGAGAAAGTGTGTGCATTTTTTAAAGAGAAATCTCTGCCTGGAGTCCCCCAGGCTTCTGGGGCTACCCCCTGGGAGGGGTTGGCTACCTAGTCACCCAGCTCTACCACCCTCTCTGTCAAGCCACTTCCATTAGGCTTCCCCAGGGGAAGCATATCCAGAGGATACCCGGACCTGTGAGTGTGTATGTGCATCTTGGAGTCAGATGATCTGGCTTGGAACAGGGGCTCTGCCTGCCACTTGCAGACCATCATGAAAACTGGCTCACACCTCAAAGTTTTAATCTGTAAAATGGGGACAACAGTCATGGAAAGCCAGTGGAAGTGGGGATGAGGCATGATGCATTTGCCTTGCGCACTCCGTTATTTATTAACAAATTAGCATGCTCCCTGTTGGCCACCCTATGGCTCTCTGTGCCAGTCACTAGGAAGGGGCAAGGGTTGTGGAGTGTCCTAATCCTGACGACTTCCTCTGCTTTGATTTCGGTTCCCAGGACTAAATGGAAGCGACAGACAGCCGTGGGGCTGGAGCTGCTGGCAGAGGCAGGCAATTATTCGGCGCTCCAGAGAATGTTCCCATCGCCTTATTTCTACCCACAGAGTCTCGTTTCCAACCTGGACCCGGGCGCCGCGCTCTATCTGTACCGCGGCCCCAGCGCGCCGCCGCCTGCCCTGCAGAGACCTCTGGTCCCACGAATCCTCATCC